GGTGGAGTGATGGGCTCGCCACCTTAGCGGTGCCCATGAGCAGTTTCTTGGGGTTAGGTTGCCTTGCTCAAGGGCATCTCGGCAGTGCACAGAAGGTGAAACTGGCACCTCTCCAGCTCCAGTACACACTGAGCTATACTGCCGCCCTTAAATAACTGCTGCTTGTTCTGTGAGAAAATATATGAAGATTATTCGCAGTCACGATCAAACAGAGCTCTGAAATTGTGATTCTGATATTAATTCTGGATTACAGTTTAGTATTTGTGTGACACACCAAATGAACGGGCTGCTCTAAAAATGACAAGTCAGTTTAAAAGCTTATTTAACTTATTCACGATACATGGTTGCCTTGACACCACAGTCAAGTTTTTCTGTATGAGAAGACCAGATATAATCTTTTTTAAAAATGCTATTAGTGAATGTTAATAAAGGAATAGTTTGACATTTTGGAAAATTCTAATATTTGTTATATTGACAGTTAGAAGAGAAGACTGAGATTCTCATTTACTTCACTCAGGAAATGTGAATAAGCGTATTTCCCCATAATGTTGAAATTCCTTTATCACTATGTGATGTGATTAAAAAAGGCATAAAAACTAGTTAGTAGAGACCAGAGAAGTTGAATTATTTGGCTAAAAGTAATGGAAAAGTGGTTGAAACATCCTTCTTCTGGTAACAGTAAACAAACAAACTTAAACCTACGGACAAAAAGAGGCAAGCTTAAAGGAACATTGTGTAGGATTTGGTGGCAGGTAATGGTGTAGTTGATTATGATTTCCCCTTCCGAACAAGAAGGAGAACCTACGGTGGCCTCAAAAAGCACGAAAAACGCTAAGGGCACTATCTAAAGTCAGTGTTTGGGTTGAGCACCAACTAGCAGGAGCCAGTGGGGGCCATGACCCAATTACCAACCCACACTACCACTTATGCATAATATGCTTTTGAGTAATGATTACTGTATGTCTGTATGCTGCTATCTGATATTTTACATTAGTTTAAATCAATGTATATTGATTTAAATTAATTCTTTGTATGCCATATGAATGTACAGGTATATTGATGTTATTTTCTATGTGTATAAAAAAGAAAATTCATAATACACTAATGAAAACATGATATATTCCATTTCTGCCAATAAATTGTCCTAATGTTACACACTGGACCTTTAAAAAATTAGACAAATCCAAATCCTTTATGTCTAGCATGAAGAATATTTGTGGAAGAGTTTACATTAGAGAGCATAAATAATATGATTCTTCTGATAGAAAAAAGAGATACAACATCTATAAAATGGAGTAAACAAGACAAATGTAAATAAGAAATACCTGCTGTATCCTAGCAGTGGCCTTAGGAAAGGTACAGTCGGAAAAATTGAGGGAAGGAAGGTTGTACAACTGAACAACAATGATGAAGAGGACAAAGTGATGGTTCATAAATCAATTTGCTATAAAAAATATATTTCTGAATCACGTAACACTTTATTTTTTACCAATAAAAACAACAATATCCACTTTTACTTTATCTAATGTTTCTTTCTTTCACCTTGCTCCCCACAGGAGTCACCACAGTGTATCATCTGTAGATCTGATGATCCACATATTTGATTTAGCTTTGGCTTTTTACACCAGATGCTCTATCTGACGCAAGTCTCCCCATTTATGCGGGCTTTGGACCAACAATTAGGAATGCATTGGTTTATGCGTCCCCAGTGACTGGGGAGCCAAGTGTACCCAAAGATGTGGACAGTCGCCCCCTTTTATATGTAATTTTTCTGTATAATTAATCATGTTAAATGTAATTTTGTTTTAAATCTACCCAAGGGGCTCATGGGGCTGTGGGGGTATATCAGACAAAAAAATGTTGGAAACCACCACTCTCATATCACAGTGTGTGCAACAAAAAATGACAATGAACAACAGGTTTTCCCTTCAAATTTGTGATTTGATCTATTTTGACCATAACTCTCAGGGGCCATTTGTGCCGTTATGTCTTTATCTCACTGCAGGTACCCACCACTTTTGTCTTATCTGAGGCCTATTTTCTTGCCGAAACCATATTGTTGTCAATAACATTTTATTTTGCCCAGAACAAATAGATCACAATTTTCTGGGAACAAACCCTGGGATACAGCAGGGTGTTGTGTGCAGATTCATGTTTTTTTTCACCTTTTGCCAGTGGCGGACTGCTGTTTGAGAGGCTGTGGTGAAAAATATGAAAAGGGCACCAGCAGGCAGAAAGTTGTAGTGCATTTAAAACACATAGTCTGGGTTAAGTTTAGCACCCTAGTGGGCACTTTATTGTCTTTTCTCCAGGACATCCTACAGCAGGGATCTCTTATCCTAGCCCAGGGCAATTTACGGCCCTGCACCCCCTTCCTTCCAGCCTGCGACATGATGACAAGAACATAATATAATCCAGATCCGAATTTGATTAAAATAAAAACTATTACTACAGTATAGTTTAATAATGACGAAGGTCAAAGGTGTCCACAGAATGCGTGCCAAGGGTTGATAAGAAGAGGGCAGGTTTCAAGGTTTCATTTGTTGTTTGACTGTGAACAACAAAGATGATATAAAATGATAGTTTGGAAATGTATACAAACTGCTATTGCATTTTTTTGTTAAGAATTATGTTAGTAATGGAAATACTTTCATATTTTCAGATTAGTGCACATTCTTGTAGCACTTAAAGAGTGGCCATCCTATGAGATGACTATACTAGCTGTGGCCCCAAGCCAATTTGAGTTTGAGACCCCGTCCTAGAGTGCACCATAGGGGCAAATGAGAGGGCACTGTTTTTCAAACACCGCCACTACCCACCAACCCACCCACCTGAGTGTGCTGCAGAATTATTCCTCAGCTTGTGACAGTGAACTCACCAACACACAGAGAAATAGTTATCATTTCTGTATCCAAAGGTACATTTGTCAGAACAGTAGCCTGTAAGATAGAAAAACGGTCCTTAAGGTGATAACTGTGGACCATTGTTTAATTTTAAAAGTACAAAATTATGGCTGACAGAAAGGGGTACATAATACAATATACTTAAGGAATAAGATAAAACAAGGAATAGGAAATATTACAGCAAATCAGTGATCACAAAAGCTTGATTTATATAGAGAGTTGGGTTTGTTGAAAAAAAATAGGCCACTAATAAAGTTCCATTCAATTCTGGGTTTGTGTGGGAATAATTTCATGAGCAAAGAAGTGGGACAGCACTAATTCAATTCAATTCAATTCAATTCAATTCAGTTTTATTTGTATGGCGCCAATTCATAAGAAAAGTTATCTCAGGACACTTTTCAAATAGAGCAGGTCTAGACCGAACTCCTTATAACGTTATTTACAGAGACCCAACAGTTCCGACCTTGAACAAGCACTTGGCGACGTCAGCAAGGAAAAACTTCCTTTTAAGAGGCAGAAACCTCAGACAGACCCCGGCTTTAGGTGGGCCGCTGTCTGCCTCGACCAGTTAAGGTTAGAAACAGAGAGGGGGGGGGTATTCAACTTTTTTGTGAAGAGTGAAATGCTTCCAATAGCCATTACCATTAATCCCAATTTTATTTTATTTATGTAGTTGGCGCTGCTGAAGCTTACAGAGTTTAAAACTTGATTGAGGCCGTTACAGCATTTACTTGTTGTGGACAAATCCGTTCTAGCTGAAAAATACAATGAAAAGGAACTAAAAAGTGCTAAAAAGAAATGGCTGCTCAAGATCGAAAGGTCATCCATTCAATCCTTGGAACTGGCAGGAGATATCTGGGTGGGGAATGTGAAGAAGAAAAACTTGGGAGCCCTTGAGCAAGACCCTTAACCCCTGTTGCTGCTGTTGTACTGGTGAGAGCTTGCAGGTTTGAATGCGTGAATGTTAGGGTGTTCCTTTCTCTCAGTGGAAGGCTCCCTGAATTCATAAAAGTTAAACATTGTTGACATTTTTGTCACTAGGGGTACAGAAATGTTCTTTTAGAAAAGGTAAAGAAGGTACAAAAATGTGCCATGTTCAAATGCATAGTGTTTCCACCCTGCTAGAGCGACAAAACGTTCATCCTGTACCTTGATTTCTTAGTGTTAAAGAACTGGGAAGTATGACTAAAATTAATGACATTAAACCAACCTGTAATGTATCAAAATTATTTAAGCTTTTATTTCCACCATAAATTGATATATTTTGAAAGAAAATCCTGTCAACATATGACGGTATGTCAAAATCCCAACATTTTGCTCACGTTATGAGACAAATTAACCAATTAATTTGAATAAAGTGCACTGTTGTGTTGACAGCTCATCATTTGATCAGGGTAACTGTGTGTATGAAATGGTCTCAGGTTGTCCTTGGATTATTTATGCATCCATTCATTAGTGGCTCCTTATGGAGTTCTGCACTGAATTCAAAATAGATAAAGATGCTGCAGGTCGATATCCGATAGGGCCAACTCCATTCATTTACATTACCTTGGCAGAGGTAATTGCCCTAGGATGATTAAAATCTTAACAAAATGTAAGCATTAATGTGACAGCAACATTAAGGATCTCAGGAGAGAGCATTTGCAATGATATTATAATAATGTACCATAAGTTCACCATTGTAAAGGGGTCGATTTGAATGTTAATATCAGACAAATATCAGCAGGCTGTTAAAAATGGACACACAATCAGCTGGAGCAGGAGTCCCCCCCCCCTAACTCAACTGCTCCACTCAAGCTTTTCCAGCATCCCCATCATTTCCTTTCTCCCTTTTTTTCTTTCTTTGAGGGAGTGGGTTGTTGAAGTAGCTCCTTGCTCGCTACAATCATCTGTGTTGTCGGTGCATGACCCTGCTGTGTTCGTGCATGGAGGCAGACAGAGGGAGAAATCAGCGTCACACTGACGAGGTCTGTGAAGCGCGTTATTATCGCACTACAGTGCCGCGTCCTTATTGGCAGTCTGCTCAACAACCTGCGGTCACTGCAGACGCACGGCAAACAGAGGGAATACAAGACACACACAAACACCTCGGAGGATGTCTGGGATAACTGGGAATTTGGATTGCGAGGAGTGTTTGTCTTCTGCACATGTGGCCAACAGCACGGAGCTACATCCGCGCTCCGCTGTGGATGAAGACGACGAACTTCTGAGATACATCTGGAGAGAGTACTTACACCCCAAGCAGTATGAATGGGTCCTGATCGTGGCTTACATTATTGTGTTCTTCGTTTCACTCATTGGAAACTCGCTGGGTAAGTTGCGTCTTTGATAGTTCATTCCCATTCGTGCGTAATTAGTCCACCATACAGCAGAAGTGCACTTTGAACAACTTTTTTGAGGGAGTGAATGAGTTTATTGCTACAAAGAACCAGAAAACCAAATGTCACCGTGATGAAAAATGGAAAATAGTCCAGGTTTGTCTTTTAATGTTCAGCACAATCGCAGCGGTGCATCTGGATGAAGGAGGATAAGTCACAGCGCGCGTCTCTCAGTGCAGCAAAGATGGTCACAATTGGATTCCACAGATGTGTTTGAAGATACAGATTGTACAAATGATACCACTTATTTTACACTGTGAGCGCAGCACGGCCGTACTGTTAAATACACAGATTGACATCATAATACTGTAAAGAAGAATAAAAAAATGTTTTTACATTTTCTCTCAATTTTGTCTTATCTGTACTCCATCATTTTCCTTTATTAGGATGTTTCATTGTTTATAGTTTTCTGAATGTATTTGCAAAAATCACCACTGACTCATACTCAGATTATGAGCAATCCTGCCATTTAATTTAAAAGAGACTCAAAGTGACCATGCAGAGGATTCTCTTGGTTTTTATTGCCACTCCTTCAAATAGGTATTTACTGGTATAGTACGGTTGGAAATGGTGCTGCCCAGCAAAAGGTCTAATGTTACATTACAACAACCTGCTCATTTTACATTTACATTTCATTTACATTTTTATTAATTTCAACCTCAACACAAAGTGGCTTTTTGTCTCAATCTCATCTCAGGGTTTCTCCACCTTTTATCATGTGAGGCTATTTTTCTTCACTGGACCATTTTAATCTCCAGTAACATCACATTTTGGTCATAATTGCTCAGAAAACCAGATTTATCTCAGTAAGACGCTGGTATACAGCTGTGCAGATTGTAGCCCACATCTTTTTATAATCTCTCATAGTTTGCAACTAGATGCACTGCAGCATTATGCCTCAGCCTGTGAGACTGAGAAGATATGAAAAGACAATTAAACAATGGATACAATAAATACAGAAGTTTAATTCAGGTTTGTGTCAATATCACAAAATGTTTAACAGGAAAACCCTTTTTAAAGATTCTAATGTAAGTTATTTACATAATTCAGTGTCATGATTCACAACATTGGATGAAACCTTGCAGCCCAAATAAAACAAAAAGTTAAATATTTAAGGATTTTACATGGGATTACCAGCACTCATTTCAGAGTCACAGCTGACAGGTACTCATTATAATCTCTCCTTTTGATAAGCACAGCGGAAACAATTACAGAAAGCAACACACAAGGCTTTTAAAATCATCTTAGCTTGTATTTATTTGTGCTTCTGTGCTCCAGACTTTATTTGCTATTGATGTTTACAGCACCTTTACTGAAAGGAAATCACACCAGAACCAATTCAAAACTGAACACAGAGGTGCCACTATGTGTGTGTGTGTGTGTGTGTGTGTGTATTTGAGTGTTGAATGTAGTTCAGTTCAATTAATTTTTTTAAAGCGCCAAATCATAACAGAAGTTAATATAGACCATACTCTTAAAAATATTGTTTATGGAGACCCAATGATTCCCACCATGGGCAAGCACTGTGGCAAGGAAATTGTCTTTCAACAGGCGGAAACCTTGAGGAAAACTGGGCTCTGGTCGGGCAGGCATCTGCCTTGAACAGGTGGGTTGAGAGAGAAAGAGATAGCTGGGGAGAGAAGGTGTGGGGGATACGGGAGTCGGGGGAAAGAGAGAGAACATACTGTAGCACAATGCACGTTTTAATTGGGCTTTTAATACTTGGCCACATGTCGTTCCTTCCTTAAAGCTGCTATAATTTATGCTTTATATAAACAATGGGTCAAAACACAGAGATTTAGCATCTTTCAGCTTATTGTTTTGGTTTTACAGCCCACAACTTTAATGATTTGGTTCACTCTCTCTCTTTGCTTTCATCAGTGCTGTTTCCAGATACAGCTCTCATAAATGTACTGTACACTACACACCCAGTTAGGGACTGGCTGGTGAACATAGTGGAGCATTTAGCAGCAAAAGAGTCAGATTTTTCCCTTAGGAGTTAGTGGAGAACAAAACAGAGATAAAAGGAGAGAGATTATTGGACTTACATTCATCAAGAAACAACGTGTTCAACAGAAACACAACTCTAAATGAATGTTGCTGTGTATCTGTGTAAATAGGCAACTTTGTGCTAACACGTTTACCATATCAAGTTAGCCAGTGTTGTGTATACCGCTTGTTTCCTGCTGCCCCCAAATGCAGGTCCAATAATGACAACCCAATTACATATATGTTAAGATTGTGGTAGCGGGGCACCAGAGCTGGCCAATCAGATGCCAGTGGGGGCCTTTGTGTCTTGGCTGAGAGTCATTGGCAGGGTAGCAAAAGCTTCTACTGGCATTTGATTGGCCACCTCTGGTGCCCCCCTACCACAATCTTAGCATGAAACTGTAGTTAATGGGTAATTTATTTATTTATTTATGTTCAAGACATGCCACTTAAACAGTCTTTTTTTACAGGCCACTGACCCGTTGCTTATTATAGACAGTGACATCACCTAGTTCAGCAAGCAGCACATACATCAGCAACACATGCATGCCTTTTTGTTTGCATTTGAGTTTAGCACTAAATTCTTTTAGTTTAATTATGACCACAATGGGATCAAAGAGGGTTTATGTCTTTGAAGTAGATGTACGTAAATGTTGCTGTGGTAGCCATTCACAGACCACAGAACACACACAAGAGTCTTAAATTGATAAAATGCCAATTATTTCCTAGATTGTGATGAGACCTGTTTAGACCTAAGGTCATTATTTCTGTGTGTGCCAACATCTCAGAGCTGGGTTGCTGAGTGAGGATTTCATCTTGTGTTAAAATCAAACAGCATTTATAAATAAAAAACTAATTCCCAAAAGACCCCCCTGCACAACATGTTAATGTGTACTAGTAAACTTGACAGATGTATAATAATTAATATTCTTTATGAATAGGAGTGGAGAAAGCAAATGTCTTTGATGTCAAATACATGTGTTGGGTAGGATGTTGTCAATTATCATAATGGAGACACTTCAGTTGAAAATTAAAATATCCACACTAAATATTAGGGGGGCTGATATTTTTTATTAAAGTTATCACAAACTCATGTTTTGAGCTTACTGAAGCAAGTATAAAGTGCTGTTAAGGTGTAAATTATTATTTTGAAAACTGTTAATATGATTAATTGCTGCAAGCAATACTGTTCAACTGACTGAAACTCTCCAGTAAAAACTAATTTTAAGGACCACAGCGTGATGTTTAGACTCTTTAAGTAAACAAATTTATGTGTGGAACTGAAAATAGTACAAAAACAAATAGTAATTAAAGCAAACATTTACATGTACTGATATTTAACAGTAACATTTAACAGTAATACTGTGTCTGTATAGTGGGAACACTGCAAGAATATGACATATAACAAAATAAATGCATGAAGAAAATAATCTTTGATGAAGGTCTGCTGTATTTGACCAAAATGATGGGTGAATGCATTTTTTCAGAGACATTCTTATCGTGCAAATTCCTTTTGAATTAAAAGGCTGTGATTGTCTGTCATTGCGGCACATGTGAATACATTTTATTTACAAGATACTGTCATATTGTACTCTGTGTGAGCCCCTGTTCTCCAGACATGCAGTGATGAACACAAATGCAACAACCCAAACTGAATTAATCACTGTCCGAAATGTCAGTAAAATTAATATGCAACAGTACATTTTACTAATTTCTGATACTGGCAGCTACCTGCTGTTTGTTAGAAGCTCTGTTTTATAGTTTGGATGGGATATTGATTATATTTCCAATATAATAAATGTCATGGCAAGAACACTAAAGCACTTACCACATACAGTTTTGCAGTATTTTTCTCCATTATGGGATGATATATAAGAGGTGCTCCACTTTTCCTCACATCTGACTGGTGGCTCCTTAATGTGGTTTCTTGCAGGGAACTTGCAGGACTGATCAGTAGCATTAGTTACCACAACAATGGAGATTGGTTTGAACTCGAGCCACCATAGTGAAACCAAGTGTAAACATTTAGTGACGTCACTTATTGTTTGTGGAGTGCTGTTTTGAAGCATTCAGCATTATGGTCGTCACCATGACAGTCTGTCGGAGCCAGCAGAGGTGACAGAGTTTCGGCTCACCTGGTCACACAAGATCTCGTATTACAGCTAAACGGTACACTAAAATATGTTTCTGAAAAGATTTTAGGTGAGAAATAGGCAACGCAGTAATCTTAATTCATATCTGACCTAGTTTGACAGTTTGATCTGAGTGCGCAGGATGGACCTGAGATTTACAAGGTACATTTGGATAGTTTTTGGCCACCTGTTGTCTATATTCACTTGTCTTTTGTTCACAACTCCATCTGTCTGTCTTTGTTAAGCAACCATTCTTATACATACACTTTTACAGTATGTACACTACTCAATGCAAATTGTGGTGAGACATAGGGATGTAACAATACACTTAACTCACAATTCAATACAAGTCACGAGGTTCAGGATATGATTTTCTCATGATCTTTTTTATCAAAATTAGAAACAAATTATGACTGAAAAACATTTCCTTATTTCTCCAGCAAAAATGTAAATGTATCTAAATCAACATCTTAAACTGTTAACCTTATTATCCAAACCCTCATTAGGTGCATAGCAAGAGTGGAAGACTTTGATTCCAGGTAAAATTATTATTATTAGTCTGTTCTCAGAAAAATAAGAATAAAGTTCAGATGCAGATAAACCGGAGCCTTTGAATAATGTCTTATATCAAAAGCAGGCATTGGTCCTTTTAACTACCCTTTCAGAGTTTGTTTACACATTGATATACGAAATAAGATATACTGCAAGTCAAAATTTCACTTATTTTCAATGTGCGTGTGAAAATAATGGCCCTGGACTTATAATAATAAGATATAAATCAGACAAAAGATTTTGCACACTGTGCTGATCTCT